ATGAACCACACAGTTAAATGCTTTTGCATAGTCAATGAAACACATGTAAACAGCTGTCCAGCATTCTTTACTTTCAGTCAAGATCCATCTGATACCAGCAATGATGCACCTTGTTTCATGTCTTCTTCTGAATCCAGCTTGATTTTAAGGAGTTCCCTGTTGATATACTCCTGCAACTGTTTTTGAAATATCTTCAACAAAATTTTGCTTGCATGGTATATTAATGATTGTTCAATAATTTCCACATTCTATTGGATCATCTTTCTTTGGAATGGCCACAAAAATAGATCTCATCCAGTTATTGGCCAGGTGGCTGTCTTCCAAATTTATCTGCATAAACAACTGCATGCCTCCAGTGTTGCATTCATATGCTGGAACATCTCAATGGATGTTCTCTTGATTCCTGGTGCTTTATTTTTTGCTAATTTCTTCAGTTCAGCTTGGACTTCTTCCTTCAAAATCATAGGTTCTTGATCATATGCTATCTCCTGAAATGGTTGAAAATTGGCCAATTCTTTTGGTACACTATATTTCTTCCATCTTATTGTTCTTCTTCTTTTCCTGTGTTTCTTAGATGTTTCCTTCATCATTAATTGTCTTCAGTCTTCTCTGCTCCAGATGGGAAGAGACCAATAGTTGCTGACATAGATGGCTGCTCAAAACTTTTAAGACACTAGCCACTGCTCACCAAAGTAGGATGTAGAACATTTTCTTTGTGGACTATTTTATGCAAATTGACCTTACAGATGTGGTTCTGAGCCTCCATAGTCAGTGACTTATTCCCTCAAGCTGTTTGGTTATGACTAAGATGCTAACATAACTTTGTCTCCTGTATGCTCCACTACATTCATCAATATATTTGCATCTTCTTTTGATACTTTGCACATCCTTTGATATTTTACCCATAACAACAACAACAACAAAAATCTCACTGCCATCGAGTCAATTCTGGCTCATAGTGAACCCTGTGGGTTTCCAAGGTGATAAATCTTTACACAAGTAGATTACCCAGTCTTCCTTCCGTGGAGTGGCTGGTGGGTTTGAACCACCAACCTTCTGGTTACTAGTCAAATGCCTTAGGCACTATGCCACCAGATATCTTTATTTTACCCATAGAATCATTCAGTATTGAAGCTCTAAGTCTGAATTATTTCTTCAGTTCTTTCGGCTTGAGAAATGCCAAGTGTGTTCTGCCATTCTGATTTTCTAACTCCAAGTCTTTACACATTTCATTGTAACACTTTGCTTTGTCCTCTCAAGCCAGCTTTTGAAATCTTCTGTTCAACTCTTTTATTTCATCATTTTTTTTTTCATAATTTTAGCTACTCTTCATTCAAAAGCATGTTTCAGAGTCTCTTCGGACATCCATTTAGGCATTTTCTTTCTTTCCTGTCTTTTTAATGACATTTTGCTTTGTCATGTATGATGTTCTTAATGTCATTCCACAACCCTTCTAGTCTTCAATCATTTGTGCTCAATGCATCAAATCTATTCTTAAGATGGACTCTAAGTTCATGTGGAATATAATCATAGTCATATTTTGGCTCTCATAGGCTAGCTTTAATTTTTTTTTTTTTTCATCTTTAACTTGAACTTGCATAGGATCAATTGATGGTCTGTTCAATAGTCAGCACCTGGCCTTGTTGTGAGTGATGATATTGAGCTTCTCCATAGTCTCTTTCCACAGGTTTAGTCAATTTGATCCCTGTGTATTCAATCTGGTAAGGTACACATGTATAGTCACAATTTATGTGGTTTTTTAAAAAAAATATTTGCTATGAGTAAATCATTGGTCAAGCTAAATTGTATCCTGCAGTCTCTGGCATCATTTTTATCAACAAAGTGATATTTTCCAAGTACGATTGATTCTTTGTTTTCAATTTTCACATTCCAATAAACAGTAACTATCAGTGCCTCTTGACTACATGTTTGGTTAATTTTCATACTGCAAAAATTGGTAAAAATCTTAATTTTTTTTCTCTGTTTCATTTTTGGCTTTAGTTCTTGGTGCATAAATTTGGGTAATAGTCATATTAAATAGTCATACTTGTAGGCATATGGATATTATCCTACCACTGACAGCATTGCATTTCAGGATAGATCTCAGAATGTTCCTTTGGTGATGAATGCCATACCATTCCTCTTCAGTTTGTCCTCCCTGACATAGTAGACCATAGGATTGTCCAATTCAAAATGGCCAATGCCAGTCCACTTCAGCTCACTAATGGTTAGGATATCAATCTTTATGCATTCCATTACATTTTTCACAATTTCCAGTTTTCCTAGTTTCATACTTCATACATTCCATGTTCTGATAATTAATGAATGCTTTTAGCTGCTTCTCCTCATTTTGAGTCATGCCACAACAACAAATGGAGATCCCGAAAGCTTTACTTCATCCATGTCTTTACGTCAGCTCCTCTCTGAGGAGATAGCTCTTCCCCAGTCTTATGCTGAATGTCTTCCAATCTGAGGGGCTCATCTGCTAGCACTATATCAGACAATGTTTCACTGCTATTCATAAACGTTTTTCTGTAGTATATCAGAGAGTATTTCACTGTTATTCATGAGGTTGTCAGTGGCTCATTTTTCAGAAGTGTACCACTACGCCCTTCCTTCTAGTTTGTCTTTGTCTGGAAGCTCCACTGAAACCTGTACACCATGGATGATTCTGCTGATATTTGACATACCGGTAGCATAGCTTCTAGCATCACAACAACACTAAAGCCATCAGAGTACAACAAACTGATGGACAAGTGACAGCACTTAGGGGTAGCAAAGGAGAAAGTGGTACACAACATAAATATAAATGCTGTCCACTCTCAGTGAACTATAGAAGGTGTTGATGGTAATAGTGTCACATCTAAGGTATCTTTACATACAATTATTACAATCATGGCATGAAATGGCTTTAATTTTAACTTTTTTTTTCTGGTCAACATTTTATGATCTCTGATCTGGGAAGTATTTCACAGGACAATGAGTAATAAAAATTAAATTCAATTATAAGTGAAAGAAGTCATAATTAAA